GTCACAGTGAGCCTTGGGAATTGTCATAGAGCTTGCGATTATGGTTCTCCCACAGTGGTGTTGGGTAGGAAGTACAATTAGAGCAATGAGGAAAAATTGATACATTGATGTGAGTTAAATTGAGTTTGATAACAATTTAATATAAATTCCAGACAATATCATATTGTGATCACATTGTGACCTTTCACATCTGTCACATTGTTGTTTGATGCATTCTTTACAGCAGCAGAGCAACAGGACTAGGAGGCAGAGACTTCCTGTCAGTCAAATTCAATTAATTCTACAGCAGATTTAAACTTAACCAAATGAGGTTTGAGAGTCGAATTGGAAGCTTAACAAGTACTGTAGGTTTTCATAGCTGAAATTGGGAATTAGCACAAAATCAAAAAAATGAATTTGGATATATTGGATGGACAAATTTGATGTATTATTAGTTGACACTAATAGTGAACAATAGCATATCTCTTCTTATCATGACCAAGATTCATAAGAATTAATTTTAGTTGTGACCTTTCACATTTGTCATGTAAACCATAGAGAACCTATTCTGAGAACTTTTGGAAATATCTTTCCAACCAAATGAGTATGTGAAAATGTTTCATCAATTCGCAGATCTAGTAAAGACCCAAACTATCCACAATAGATGTCATGAGTTTTAGTATTAGTTACACTATTAAGGGGGTTCTCCAACTGAAGCCACAATCAGGTTTGATGCACAGTGTGCTTCCTAATATACAATCCAAAGAAAATCATTAGATTTAAGGTGATGGCTGTTGTTGAGTTGTCCTCAGTAATAGTTTACTGGTAAGTATTCACAATTGCAGCACGAAGAGGGGTGGGATTTTTTAAAAATCTGAGAGTGGGGAAAAACTGACCATTGAAATCCTTTGTTGCATTTATGGATTTTGTATGTCAATATTGATATGTCAAATATAAAATCATGTTAATCTCGCATGTGAATCTACCAGTGCGTGTGCATAAAACATTAACAGTAATGTACTTTTCCAATGTGTGTCCATAAGTTACCACTTTCTGTACAGCACAATGTCAAACAATCAAATGTATCTCAAACAGGCGGCGATCTTGGCTCAATACTGGACATCTTAAAATATGGCTTTCAATATGGACCCGTACATTTCGGTTCCAAGGGATATTTTATTGAGTAAAATCTACATTTCATCATGTCACATTTCAGGAATTCATTTTTTTTTCATATCATATACTAAGGAGCTGACACACAAATAATCTTCTATTCCCTGTATAGCTATCTTAGGAAAACAACTGTTTTGAAGTGAAATTGGAATAAATTAGTTAATATGGCAGTTCTTCACCTAGTGATTTACAGGCACTTCCAATAATGTGGCAAAATCTCCTTCTTGGCTATGTAACAGAGGCTAACCAGCTTTGATCACATCTCTGCAAAAAACAGTCATCTGGACAAAATGTTTTTCAAGCCAAAGTAGCAATACTGCTCAGAAACTGAGACATAAGTTAATGTTGTCCATAGAATTGCTTTTTAATGTAAATTTCAGTGTGAATGAAATGTTCTGTTTTACTTTCAATTAGAGGTATACTGTAACTATTAGAGACAGTACTTACTACTGGCTTCAATCATCGGATGGTTAAATCAGAGATGATTGTTGTAATCCCTTTACACTCCCAAACCACACTGCCTCCTCACCACTACCCCCCACCCTCCCACCAAACCTTGCTCTGCTTGCTATCTGTGAAAACAAATGACTAATTCTTGCTCACAGTGCTGGCACTGCAGAACAGTACTGAAGTGAGCTGCATGTCTGACACATTTTTTCATTTTAAATGTCTTGTGCTGGTTTTTTTCTCTCTTTATACATATCATGCATTCGAATCATATACACCTACATAATATTCACGTCCTGTCAAATTGACTCTGGATGTAGTAACAAGACAAAATCTAATTATTACAGGTATTACTGGACTCTGGGCCAAGCGAACCTGAATATTTTCATGCTTCATAGATTAGCATATCGCATGCAGCCAACTGCAAAAAAACAGTTCATGTTACAATGGCATGATCCAAGTGCTGTAGCTTCCTTTCACTGCTGTAATTTGCTCTCAGCAACCTCATCAGGCCTACAATTTTGACAGTGATAGGATGTAGGTGGCTACACCAGTCCTCATTTACCTATTTAAAGATGTTAACAGTTACATTTCCTTTTTTGCATCCCCTAAAAGCATAAACATTATTTTGAAGTTAGCCTGCATTGAGATACATTGTCATTTTCTGACACATAGAATATTGCTGTGTATTTAATTCTTCATCCCTCACAGAAGTTAATGTCAAGATCCATAAACCAAACACTGCAGCAAGCAAAGCTTCTGTTTTTTTAATCTTAAATTAAATCTCACACATAGAAATTGATTTGGTTGGAAATTCATTACTGGGTGGCCAAACTAAGTCAATAAGCTCATGGAATAATGTGAATATTTTTCTGTGCTGGGTTTTGTTTGTTGGGGTTTATGCATCATTAACTGCCTATAGTTTTCTTTTTGTCTCTCAGCAATCAGTCATGGTCTTCTCATCCTAAGCACACTTTCACTTTCTCACTCCATCAATCTTTCCCAACAGGCCTTTTTTCGTTGACCTTGTGGATCATAATTTTGTTGGTCTTCTTTTAGCCTTCAACACTTTTTGTTTCTGCTGAGTGCAGTAGTTGTCCTGCCTATCCAGCTGTGTGATGAATTAGTAAGGTGATAGGGCTAACAAAAGAACAAAAGATTCCCCTAAGTCAGAACAGATTGGAGTCTAATGTACTCTTTTAAAATTAGAAATAAGATTCACATCGGTCAATTCCCTCATGCACTGAAAAAATACTTCCCCTTGAGCTACCAGCTTTTGATCAACAGAGTCACATTGTTGCCTTATTACTTACAACGCTGAGGAGGCATGCTGTGATGAAATCCCTTTCTCTTCCAGTTCAATTAGTAAACTAATGTCAAAGATCCTTGCAATAGTGCATTCTAGAGGAATATATTAATAGCATATGTGATAAAATGTTTGCAAAATATTAATTTCTGTATTGCTATCTGAAACTGTAACACAAGCTTAAATAGACATTTGCAAGAATATGGAATGAGTTTGTAAAGCCAAGCATTGGATAGTATGCAGGACAAATATTGACTGCTTTTCTGAAGCATGTTTTTCTCATGGCAAGTTGCGCCATATTTTATTGTGCCCTGAGATATGGCGTTTGCTGTTCCCAAGGTACAATTCCATTATGACTTTGTTAAAATAAAAGTTTTCTGCCATTAATATCGATGGCCTGTTTGCATGAGAACAATCATGTGCACATCTCAGGAAACCACTTCCAACAGCCACAAAATAAGTAAAAACAATGGGCCCCAAATTTCTGACGGGAGCTTCAAGATATCAAACAATGCTTTACATAATCATCAGAACTAGCTGCTTCTGTGATACCAATCGTGAAATTATCCTTTCAAATTAATAATTAATACTTCCATCTAAAAAGAGAGAAATCACAAATCAGAAAGATAAATATTTATGAGACTATATCTCATAATATAATTTCAGGGATAGAACATATCATGATTGCTACTTAGTCATTTAGAGATAGACAGATCACTTAGTCATTCATCATTTGTGTTATGATGGTCCTGACTCAAAGGCTGATTTTGTAGACAATCAAGAAGCTAAAATATTCTCAATCTTTAATCCCTACTTAATTCTAAAAGATGCAAACTGAAATCACTCAAAGGTGTACCCAATTCTCTTATGAAAAAGTGCCATATAAATGCCATTAGAAGAATTGTTTCAAGTATTGGATAGTGATGTGGACTCAATTTGACTGCAATTGGTTATTCAAGGTCATATTTTTGAAAAATAACACTTGCTACCTCCAATATGTACATATACTGCTGAAAATAACTTGGACAATGTTATCATTGTTCATTTCAAAGTCCAAAAAAGAAACAGAACACAATCAGGACAAAATTAAATAGTTATCAGGAATCACTTGATGATAAATTTAAAACAAAACTACTAAAAAGGGCAGATATCATCCTATTTTTATTTTTGCTTTCCAAGATTATCATGTCGTAAACATCTGATATGGCATCACTAAACAAGATATCATAACATTTCTCCCATGTAAGGAGGAACTGTCCATGTTGTGACTGTTATCTCTCATTGGTCATCCATACCATGGGCAATATTTTTAAAAATGTCACAAAACAAAAATTGGGCAAGTTCAGATCATTACACAAATTATGCAAATGGACAATAAATTGATGAACTTACTTAGCTACTAAATGATTGATTTTAGATGTGATGTATTCTGTAAATTCATTCTCGTCCAAAGCAGACATATGCGGTGCAAAATTCAATTTCATCTTAGGCACAAAATGGGTGGTAGCAGGCCAACCAAGCCTTTTACGGCCTTCCTAATTTTTCCTCTTATTTGAGGTAGTGACCTGCTACACTTGTTTTGGACATTCGCAAAAGTTCAAATGTAATTCCAGGATGTATCATATAACACCTTTACTGTTACTACTGTCTATTGCTGTTTAGCACAAGAAATTGATTGGGCAAATTGTACAAATTGTAAGACTGAACAAGCATAGTTATAGGACATGCAAGATGCAAAGTTAAATATCATCACCAATAGATAAAAAAAATGCTATTACCGAATATAATACATTAATCAACGATCTGTAACCTTTGAGACATGGCTTTGTAGGCCACGGTAGGAATTAATTTTGATTTTTGAAACCTTGCACAATATTGAAAGGTTTCACCGACCCCAGTTCTTTCAATTTTGCACTGCACGTTTGCGAAGATTACTGGATCATTACATGGATTAATTATCAGCAGTACATAACTTAAAATAGGGAAAAGACCTACTCCAGGCCACCTCACTGTACTGTACATCGGTGCCTAATTTATCCAGAACTCCTGCAGTGATCCAGCCAGAAAAAGATGACTTTTCTCATTGCTATCACAGCCATGCACCTGTTTGGCCTAAACTGGCACCTGCAGCCGATGGAAGGGCAGATGTATCAGATCGGTGAGAACAGAGCCAGCAGTTGGCCAGTGCCAACGGACGTCACATTGTCTCCCTCTGGTGGCACAGGTTTAGGCTTGCCTGAAAGGAAAGGCAAAGGAACCAGTGAAGGTATGGTCTACTGTAAACATAATCAATACTATGAAACTGGCTTTAAATCTGCAGTGTACTTTATGTTTAATATACAAGGCTTTATTTGTAAATTATAATTATAGAACTGCACATACAATGTTCCCTTTTAATATATTCTGCCTTCTTATTGGTACAAATTTTGAAAAGAGTTTTCTCAGTTTTTGGACAACTTTCTAATCTTATGTGAGGTTTTGTCAAATTAATGTGCACTGTATTATGTGTATATGCATTGCGGTGGATTACAATGTTATTTTGTGACCATGATGTATTCCCATAAACAAAGGGCTACTGTGAAAACATTTTGCATGGTTGTGCTAATCATGGAGTCAAATGTAAATTTCTACAATAACAGTACATTACAAACCTTCTTCTGAAATGCAAGCTATTTAAAAGCACTGCTGTGAAAATTAAAATACATTCCACAGCTGGAAATGAGTTGGATAACCTTTAAATTGGACCAATTCCGACATTCTGATCTTACAACATATACCTACATTATATTGATGAACAATGACAGACTATGTTTTTAAATCTGGAATCTCTTGCTGTTAACACATCCCTGCAGGTATAGAATTAGGAAGAATTTTTGATTTGTGACTCAAAAGTTCTTGCCATTAGTTTGATGTGATGACTCTTTGCCAGTAGATATCACTTGTGGGGATTATGTTTGAATAACTATTCAGCAGGTTGGTTGTCTGAATATTTCCTAAGGAAAAGTAGAATTAATATGGATTGTAGTCAATAACATATACTGTAGCTAATGTATTACACTTAATTGATTAAGGAGGAAGTAATGGCCAGGACCAGTCTCCTCAACTCTGAAACAGTCCTTTTGAGTTTGAGAAAGCCATTGGGGTCCCTATTTGATGTTTCATACAAAACACTGGACTGGAGTATCAGCCTATATCTTGTGTTCATGTCTCTGAAATGGAACTGGAACTTGTAAGTTTTTCACTGAGAGGTGAGCATGTTTCTACTAAACCATGCCTAACATGCACATTTTGGGCTTTTGTTTCATTATCGGAATAATGAGATGAACTGGATTGGCACAGTCTTTGATGGCAGGAGTGTAAAACATTTGACACTCGTACTCAATGCTCTTTATCGGCAGAGAATTCAGAATACACAGGAACGTTATTTTGCAACAAAAAAGGAAACATCCCAAGGGAAGAAGCCACCATTTGTGATTAACTCAAAAAGTTGAACACATATCAAACTTAAAGAAAAAATGTAAAACTAAAGAAAGATGGATGGCCGGTCAGAATATCAAACGGAACATAAAAAGCAACAAAGAATGCTAGAAGATTCAAAGAGAAATCTTAAAGTACGAGAGAAAACAAAGTAGAAATATATATGTAAATGATGTTAGGGGCCAAATTTTATAGGGATCTGAGCAACATGGGCCATGGCGAGATTTGTGCCAGAATTGGATGAGAAGTCTGGCAAGGCCCATCTTGACATCAGGAGAAACTCACTGCATCTTTTATGCGTTAGCCAAATGGCAAGGTGAGCTTCCTGCTGGGCAAGGCAACGGCAACTCCGCTCATTAATATGCAGCTTCCCATATGAACAAATGCACCGACCAAGCTAGACATCGAAAATTCTCGATGTGGAAGTCAGCGGGGCACCTGGTGACTTCAGCTCATCACTGGCTGCGAGGAGCCTCCATGTTGTTGATCACTAAACACCTTCTCAGGATACAATCCAAGACAACAACCACTTGCACCTCTCTTCCACGGAGCAGGGCAGACATCGTTTTGGTGTAATATATGGGGTTAATGGAGCAGGGGCGTCAGTTGGAGGTGAAGTTCAATGTGTTGGGCTCTACACGGGGGGCGAATGAGTGTAACTGGGCGGTCAGGGTAGTGCAATGTAAAATGGGACATCCTAGGTAATTGGAGAATACCGGGATGAGCTCGGGGGATCTGGGGGATAATCGGGGGATACCTAATAACCAGTCAGAGGCTGATGCTGATGGTATTCACCGCAAAGTGCCATCACATGCCATTCTCTGGATGTGAAATGCAGCTGAAACAGAGCGATGCAACAGCCAAAGAGAGCTAAGTCAGTGTCACTTTGATGGGCAAAAATGTGTGATCCACATCTCCTGGATGCTTGGACATTACAGTGAAAAAAGGTGGAGCATGTATTTGCAAATTGCAGCCTTATTTTATTTGTAATTGTTTCTTCACCCATGTGCAATTTGTGCAGAATGAACATCCTTAAGCATCAAATGCTTGTCAAAAGCAGATTACGCCATTCTGTTGGTGTTTGCAAATCAAAAACTGTCATCTCAGTGGTGAGAAGTTAGTGTCAATGACTTAACATGTGAAAAATGCTGACCAAATCATCATATCACTTGTGGAAATTCTAAGGATGGCATGAGATGAGGGGATAACAAGGTGTAGAGCTGGATGAACACAGCAGGCCAAGCAGCATCAGAGGAGCAGGAAAGCTGATGTTTCAGGCCTAGACCCTTCTTCACTGAAAAGTCAGCCTTCCTGCTCCTCTGATGCTGCTTGGCCTGCTGTGTTCATCCAGCTCTACACCTTGTTATCTCAGATTCTCCAACATCTGCAGTTCCTACTATCTATGAGATGAGGAGAACTTGGTTACATCATGTTTCACGTAAGTATGGCAATGAAATCAGTGGCAGGTTTCATGGTTGATGTTGGTCTGGGATTGGGAGTGGGTCAGAGTGCAGCAGGCGCTCCCTTTTTGATGTAACATGTTGGTCACTCTGCCAGCTTGGCACCTTCAACAAGTTGGTGGATACACCTCAACCAGGGCCCTAGTGGGGCAGAACATGGGGCTCCTGAAAATGCAGTTCCTCTGCTAAGATTGGTCTGGGAATCTGTCCAGTCTAGTCCAGACAGATTGTGCCACATTATTCTGGTATACTGTGGTCTGTTCATTTCAAGCAGATAGTGAGGCAATGTGCTGGATATTGAGAAACCAGGGGAATGGGAGCAGTTTTCTACAGAGAAGGATGATGCTACTGAGATGTGGGAAGCTATCCTTGTGGATGATGCAGCTCAACAGCTTTGGCGGCTACAAGCCCGACAGGATCTGATCCTGACAGGACCTGATTGATACTCAGTTCTAGTGGATGTGAGATGATTGCAAATGACCACCATGCAAAGTTTGTAAATTGAAGCCTCTACTCGTTTAATTTGCATTCAGTTTTGCTGACTAAATAAAAGTTCATTTTTGGAATTGTCCAATTGCTTGCCTGTTTATTATATCCCTCCACTGGACAATGACAAAATCTAGGTGGCCAGTGGATATTGAGAACAAAGTACTTAGAGAGTGTTTATACAGGATGTAACTCAGAACAGAGGAACTGTGTTGCCGGGTCAAGAGTGAGTGATTGAGGTTGTATGTGCGAGGCAGTGTCAGCCATGCCAGCTATGTACCTGCTGTGCCATGGTGTTGCTGCTGAGCAGCATTGCTGGATTGCCACCGCTTGTGTAAGTGCACAATGGCCTTTGAAAGGGGATGTGTTGGCAGGGATGTGGTCTTTCAGAGGATCTCCACTGAGTAACAGGTTGTTCAGGCAGTGCTGGTGGTAGGATGGGATGAGAATTGGCTGTGAGGGACAGTATGAGGCGGGGAAGCTAGTTAAGGAAGTGTGTCTGGTAAGATGTGGTGAGAAATCTCACTGGGTTTCATGGCAAGAATCCCTCCAAGTAAACAAGACACAACTTTTATTTAGGCAAAAAAGCAAAAGATTCGGCCCTGACATTTTCTAAAGATAATAAAAAAGAGTTAACAATGTGAGAGTCGTTCTTATGGAACATGAGTCTGAGGAAATTAATAATGGAAATTAAATAGATGGCAGATGAATTACTCAGGAGTTTTGCATCTTTATAACTTTAGAGGATACTAATAATATCCCAGAAATAGTTATAAATCAGGAAATGGGAGAGAGGGAGCAACTCAAGAAAATTACAAACACCGGAGAAGTGGTACAGACTAAATTATTAGAGCTGCAGGATGGGACAAATCCCTGGATCCTATTTGACTTCATCCTGCAGTCTTACAAGAAGTGGCTAATGAGATTTTTGATGCCTTGGTTTTAATTTTCCAAAGTTTCCTCAATTCATGGAAGGTCCCATTAGATTGGAAAATAGCTAATTCTGTTATTTAAAAGGGGAAGGAGACAGAAAGCAGGCAACTACAGGCCAATTAGCTTGAAATCTGTCATAGGGAACATTTTAGAAACGATTGTTGAAGTTGTTTTCACAGGACACTATGAACAATTCAAGCTAATCAGACGTAATCAAAATGTTTTGTCAAAGGGAAATCATATTGAACCAGTTTATTGGTGTTCTTTAAGGAAGTGACATATGCTATGGATTAAAACGAACCAGTGGATAAACTATGGTTTGAAGTCCAGAAAGCGTTTGATAAGATGCCACATCAAAGGTTTTTGCTAATAATAAAAGCTTATGATGTAGAGTAAGATATTGGCATGGACAGAAAATTGGCTCACTAACAGGAAACATAGAATAGGCAAAATAAATATTTTTTCTGCTTTCTTCTTGCTATAAGCAGTACGCCACCAGGATCAGTGCTAGGGCTTCATATTTTATACAGATGACTTGGATCAAGGAATCAAAAGTTGATAAATTTGCTGATGACACAAATGACAAATAGAAAAGTAAGTTGTGAAAGAACATAAAGAAGCTACAAAGGAATACAGATAGTTTAAGTGAATGGGAAAAGATGTGGCAAATGGAGTATAATGTGGGAAAGTGTGAAGTTGTCTATTTTGGCAGGAAAAGTAATAAAGCAGATTATTTAAACGTTGAGAGATTGCAGAGCTCTGAGCTGTAGGGAGAACTGGGTGAGCTAGTGTATGAATCACAAAAGGTTAGTATGCATGTGGCAAAGGGAATAGAATGTTATAATTTCTGGCTAGGGTTATTGAATACAAAAGGTTATGCTTCAGTTATACAGGTCACTGGTGAGACCGC